GAAGTTGTGTGCAAAGGTCTTGATACTGGAAGAGCTCGATCAGCTACAAAGTAAAATAATTCTTATACTTTGTCACTTGGAGATGATATTTCCTCCATCATTATTCACTATCATGATTTACTTGACTGTCCACCTTGTTCAAGAAGCAAAGGTTGCTAGCCCAGTTCAATATCGATAGATGTACCCTATAGAGAGGTATTAGATTATCTTTTATCCTTGCCTCTTTAAATTTGACATTTTTATTTCAATTACTCACAATTACTAATGGAATATTAACCTGCAGGTATTTGGGAAATTAAAATCATATGTTAGGAATAAGGTGTGGCTTGAGAGGTCAATAGCAGAAGGTTATTCCAGAGATGAGGTCCTAACTTTCTGTTCAAGGTACTTTGATGACATGGAGACATCTTTTAACTAGTCACGTCACGTAGATGATTGTCCTCATGGTCCTTCCACGTCAACTTTATTTCCTCCTATTGGGAAACCAGTTAGAGGATATGAATTCTTCAGACTCACTCACATAGAGAAACTCTAGGCACACAGACATGTTTCAGTAAATTGCATCCAAATTGAACCCTTCATGCAGTAAGTATTATAAGCTTACTAACTTTTACACTTTATATTTGTTTCTCATTGACTCTTCCAATAAACTACACTTCATTATAGTGAGTTTAGAAATCACCTCAGGCGGCAGCTACGAGGGCATGCGCGTTTCGCTGACATTAATAAAAGAGTCCATAGAGAGTTTCCTAGTTGGTTCACACGCCGAATATCTAATGACAACAACCCATACACAGATGAATTCAAAACTCTTTCCCTCGGTCCGTTAGACCATGCATGAAGGTTTACCACGTATAATGTCAACAGGTTCAAATTCTGTATTGTTGGACGTGATTAGGGATTGCTCACATAAAACTCTGGAGTTTGCAGGATATTTGGGACGAGATGTTATGCTAGCAGAAGTGATGGAGATATGCGCTTTAGAGACATCATTTACTATGGAAAGCTAATTGACATCGTTGAGTTAAGTTACTAGCTTTTCATCGTAACTTTGTTCAAGTGCTCTTGGGAAAATACGACAACTTCACGGGGACTCACTACTGACCATTTGGGCATCACCTCTGTTAATTTCTCTATACTCATTCATACAGGGGAATCTAAAGATGATGAGCTATACATTCTTGCCTCTAAGGCACACAAGGTTTACTATGTCGAGGAGGAGAAATATATAGACTAAAATATGATCATTCACCTCAAGCCACAAGATCTTTATGATATGGGTGATGGTGACATTACTTATGACAGTGAATCCTTCCAACCAATGAATTTTGAAGACTTCTTTCCTCAAGGAGACGATAATTTAGCCATTATTAGGTATATGTCTTTTCTTAAATTATTTAAATAATTAACTACTAATTATTAATTTTTTCTAAATATATTATAATTCTAACAATAATTTTTTTTAATATCTCCTTTCAGGCAGGATGATGATCAAGAATAGTAATTTCAAAAATTTTTATCATTCAAATAATTTATTTTTCATAAATAAATATATACAAATTAAAATTGGTTCAATTTTTTAAAAATTAAAAAATCACAATTTGTAGCGGTTACAGAACCGCTGGAAACTGAACAACCACTGCAAAATTAATGAAACAGCTAAAATAGTAAACAACCGCTAGAAAAGTCTCACTGATATAAATACCGTATCACCTCCTCATTTATTTACCCCATCTCTTTTCCTTCATCCCCTCTTCTTCTTTATAATTATCTCTTTTCTTTTCTTTCATATGTTGGTTTTTTCCCCCTTCTTTATATGGTAAGATGGTATTCGTTTTATAAATCTTAATTTTTTTATTTATCTTTATTTATAATTCACTAACATATTTATTTATTCTTTTCTTTCAGATTTTTTTTCACATTTGTCATGCCTTCCTCAATTAATTCAACCACATTTCAACATAAAAATTAAGGTTCAACATTATAAAATATCCCATCTTCAATTCAACTATTTTATTAAATTCAATTCAATTCAATTCATTTGACACAATCATAATTTAATTACTTATTATTTATCACAAAAGTCAAATATATAACATGTAATACATTAGTAACTATACATATTAACATAAATTCTCTAATATAATCTATTTAATGGTTTTCTAATTTATAATATTATATTTTATAATAACGAAACATTTGAATTGTATTTTCTTTGTCTCGAATGAATTTTGTAGCTACTTAGAAACCACTAGAAAAAGGAAAAAAAAAAGCAGAAAAAATTTCATAAAATTTAAATTTGGTCCCACTTGACACCAAATTTCTAGCGGTTAGCAATTGCTAGAAAGTTTTGGTATCAATTTGAAAATTTTGTTTCCCAGTAAAATATATCTTTGTCCAAAAATTTCTAGTGGTTAACAACTGCTACAAAGTTTTGGCACCAATATGAAAATTTGGTTTCCCAGCAAACTGTAATTTCTTCCAAAACTTTCTAAGAACTGCTACAAATATTTTGATAAATTTTCTAGCGGTTTTAAACCGCTACAAACGTCGTTGCATTCTCCTTCGCTTGCTTGTTTTTACTAGTGGTTAGCGTAACCGCTAGAAATTTTCTAGCGTTTTAATCATACTATGTAGCGGTTCTCTTAACAGTTAGAAAGTTGTTTTTTACACTTGATTTCTTAGCGGTTTCTCTAACCGCTACAAATGTTGTGTGTTGCAGTTAAAACCGCTAGAAACGTCATAATTTAACCACTAGAAAATTTTTTTTTGTAGTGATTTATTTTATATAAATAAAATTTTACATGCAATTGTTTTAAAATTTATTCAATATGATTAGATATAGATAATATCTTAATAACTCCATAACTAATCTCAATCTTTCGATTTGAAAGTTTTCTGATTATTATTTATTCAACATAATATTACTTAATTCATTAATAATTAATATAAACTCACAGATGCATCAAAGTATTTATTGCAATAATTATTTTTTCAATTAGACTAATGTGAAAAATTAATGTCGTAACATACAATCTTTCTCATAAATTATTATATGCCCGTCTTGTGCCCTAGATTAACATTAAATCTCTAAGTCCTTAAAAATTGGAATGTAAGTAATAAATATTACATTGGACACGCACCATCCAAATCTCATTTGTTACATCATTGGCATAATAAACAGCATAAATATGGTGGTACATGGTGATTTTCTCACTTTTTATAACAATTATTACTATAAAAAAAAATAGGATCTCAAAATATTGTCGTGGGAAAGTACATTCATGATGGATTTTTTAACATATAAGAACATTAAAAAAATTTATAACTTAGTGGATAAAATAAATTTAAATATTATATTTAAAAATAAAACAGACTTTCCTTTCCATCAGGATTGATTCTTTTTATCAAACCGGCCCTGACTGCTTAATTACACCAAACGTTCAAATGTTCAAACACACGTGATACCTGTTTGAGTAGTAGGTGCAGCTAGAAGTGGTTCAAAACAAGGAGGGCGAAAAGAGCATGAAAACTGAACCCCCATATCTTCAAATGGACTCCAATTCTACTATCACTCTGTTTATTATTATAAGTCACTTATATCTCAAATCCACAAACCAAGAAATACATTAAATTAACCAGTTTTTTTTTCATATTTACCCTTATTAAAAATTGTGAGAGAGAGAAGAGGGGAGGGAATGGATTGCATAGGAAATGAGAAGTTGAGAGATAGATGGAGAGAGAGATTAATTAATTTTTTATTAAATTAATAGGGGTAAAATTGGAAAAAGATAATTAATTATACTACAAGTGACTTATATTTTAAAAAAAAAATTTAAGGTACAAATGACCTATAATAAAGAACAGAGTGATACTACCGTGGGCCATCATATGCCCTGACATGTTTAACGTGTTTCATTTTTAAAATTATTTTAGGTACTTCAATTTCTTTTTTCTTTCTTCCAGATATTGCGTACTTCAATTGGAAATTGTGATTTCGTGAAACACAACATAAAATTTTTCATTAATCCTCCCATCCCTGAAAATTAGCTAATTAATTTACAAAAATTAAGAAAAATAATTAACCTGGTTTTTCTTTAAAAAAAAAGTGTTGATCTTCTGAAATATTCTTTGAATCATCTGTATTTGAAATTACCTTTTGATTAAAAAATTTTATAAGTGTAATTAACAAGAATAATCTAAAAAAATTATAAATTTATAAAGGAAAAATTAATCTGTTGGTCCTTATAGTTTTAACTCATTTGTAACCTAATCCTTACACTTTGACTCGATGTAACTCATTATCTATAGTTTTAACTCAGTTGTAGCTCAATTTCTAAAGTTTGACTAGCTATAACTCGGTCTCTATAATTTTACCCATTTTATAATTTAGTTCTTATATTTTTTTAAAAAAATTACATATCTAACAAAGAAAGGGACTACATTATAAAATGGTTAAAAATATAGAGACCTAGTTACAATGAGTTAAACTTTAATGATTGAGTTATAATCGAGTCAAAACTATAAAAACTAGATTACATCAAACCAAAGTATAAGGACCGAGTTACAAATCAGTTAAAAATATAATGGCTAAAAGATTAATTATCTCATTTAGAAAACAACAATTGAGATCTTATATTTATTATTAAAACAAATTCTTCCATTAATTCTTATTATGTTCACCAGCGGATGAGCTTGGACGTAATGAATTGATGAGTGCCAAATCCCTTTCAAAGTGCGGTGTGGCTTTGGTGGCTTTGGCCTTTCGAAGATCTTAGTAGTAGTCAAATCAAAAATACTATTTCGATCTTATAATTACCACCAAAGGTGATACTTAAAAAGCATGGCACGTAAATGTCGTCTTCCTTGGGAACCACTGATCCTTTATTTGAGTGACAGCCGTATAATCCTCTACAAATATTCGGCCTAACATTTTTTTAATCATGAAAATAACATCATTTCTTTTTCTTTTTTTTTTTGAGCAAAGAAAATAACATCATTTCACCGATGTATAGTCCCTCCGTTAGTTTCCCACCATTGAGCATATTGTTTTTGTTGCTCGAACCACATTCATTTTTGGTTTCACGCTCTGAAACTACTCTCAGGGACAGAGCAAGACCACAAAGATGAAGGAGGCAATAGTTCTCTACCCAAGTGCTGCGAGAGGCCACCTTGTTTCGATGGTGGAGCTTGCCAAGTTCATACTCTCTCACTATAATCTTCATCCTCCTCTTACCATTCACATCATCACTATTTCCCCTCCGTACGACGCCGTTTCCATCTCCAACTACATCGCCTCCGTCTCTTCCTCCATTGATCCTTCCATTATCTTCCACAGTCTCCCTCCTGTTTCTCTTCCTCCTTCCTTACTCTCCTCTACCCCTAATCATGAAACCCTGATGTTCGAGGTTCTTCGCCTCAACAATCCTAATCTCCATAATGCTTTAATTTCCATCTCTGAAACATACGCTATTCGTGCCTTCATTGCAGACTTCTTCTGCTTTGAAGCTCTTTCTCTTTCTTTAAAACTTCACATCCCTGCTTACGGGTTTTTCACCAGCCCCGCCGGCTGCCTCGCCTTCTTCCTCTACTTTCCGACCCTCCATCGGACCACCGACAAGAGCTTCAAAGATCTCAATACCATTCTCAACATCCCCGGCATCCCACCGTTACACAGCGGGGACATGATTAAACCTTTGCTTGAACGTAATGATCCAGCATATCGTGGCTTCCTGAGAGTTGCTGATATTATGCCGAAAACAGTTGGCATCATAGTGAACACATTCGAAGCTCTGGAACATGAGTGCCTCAGAGCAATTTCCGATGGGCTTTGCGTGCCGGACAGTCCAATGCCTCCCATTTACCCCGTGGGTCCTTTGATTGCATATGATAAAGAAAAAGCCATTGGACATGAGTGTTTCCAGTGGCTGGATTCGCAATCAGAGGGAAGCGTCGTGTTTCTCTGTTTTGGGAGTTTGGGTGTGTTTTCCAAAGAGCAATTACGTGAAATAGCTTGGGGATTAGAGAGGAGTGGGCAAAGATTCTTGTGGGTAGTGCGGAATCCACCGTCGGAGAAGACCCATAACCTCGCTGCGTCGTCACAGGAAGACCCAGATCTGGATTCGCTGTTGCCGGAGGGGCTCTTGGATCGTACAAGAGAAAGAGGGATGGTGGTGAAGAAATGGGCCCCACAGGCGGCGGTGCTGAAGCATCGGTCAGTGGGTGGGTTCGTGACCCACTGCGGGTGGAACTCAGTGCTGGAGGCGGTGGTCGCCGGTGTGCCGATGGTGGCTTGGCCGCTCTATGCAGAGCAGAGGCTTAATAGGGTGGTGATGGTGGAGGAGATGAAGATTGCGCTGTGGATGCGGGAGTCGTCGTCGTCGTCGGAGGCTGGATTTGTTGAGGCGGCGGAGGTGGAAGAGCGAATCACTGAGTTGATGGAATCGGAGAAAGGTGAGTTGGTGAGGAAGCGAGTTGGGATTGCGAAGGAAGAAGCGGAGGCCGCTATGCGGGACGCAGGATCCTCACGTGTTGCATTGGGTAAATTCTTTGAATCATGGGAGAATTAGAAATAAGTTTTTTGTTTTTGTCCTTTTTTTTTTTTTTTAACCTGAGGATTGAGGGTGCACTAGGAAGCCGTGTTACTTAGAAGAAATCGTAATAGTAGAGGAAATAATGAAATAATGAATTAAAGGAATTTTGATTTCCATCTACCTTGTTCATCTTTAATATCATTCGTTTATTATCGCCAAAAAAAAATATCATTCGTTTATTTAATTATTTTTTATTTAATAATCATATATGAATCGTCAGTTACATAAGTTCTATTTTTTTTTTTGTCGAAATTACATGAGTTCTACTTTAAACAGATGTGTTGGTCAAAAGAATTTCTTGTTACATATGATAATAATTAAATGAATAATATATTTAGTATTAGCAATCTCGCATGGTTAAATAAAACACCATCTCTGGTCGATCATTAATATAAGAACTTGTTTGAGTTTTATTTTAGTTATAAGATTTAATCTATTTTATTTTTTATATTTATCTATTTTTTTCTCAAAATAGTTCTTGTAATAATAATAATTTTGATCAATATACCTGATTAGTAAGGATATTTTAAAAAAGACAGTATTTATTTATTATAAATAACTAATTTAACAAATTTTTTTAATATATTCAAACTAGTTAACTAATTCATATATTTATATGGGAAAAAGACAAAAAAAAAATGACAAATTAACTTGGGAATGACCAAAACGTCCGTTAAATTTGCAAAATGCCATTCTGGTCACATGAGACCAAATTGACATTATCATATCAAATGAAAAGATCAAATTGCCTTTCATTTTATTTATTGTTTTTAAAATACCAAAGCCACCACTGGCCGGCCAATCGTCGAAGCTTCAGCGACGGTAGTCGCCGGAGTTCCGGCAATCGACCGATAATTGGTCACCCGAGCTTCGACTGTCGAAAACAATTTTTTTGAAAATTTTTATAATTTCAATATAACAGTTAATCACTTTTGTAACGCTATTAACAACTTCAGTACAATAATTAACAACAGGTTTTCTGGGAAATTTAACAAGCTCCAGCTGCCGGAAACAATTTTTTTGAAAACTATTACAATTTTAGTATAACAGTTAATAGCTTTTGTCACGCTATTAACAACTTCAGTATATCAGTTAATAACAGGTTTTTTTGGGAGATTCAACAATTGGTTGCCGGAGTTCCAGTGGCTAGAAACAATTTTTTTGAAAATTTTTACAATTTCAGTATAACGGTTAACAACCTTTGTAACGCTATTAACAACTTCAGTATAGCAGTTAACAATAGGTTTTCTGGGAAATTCAACAAGTTTCGGCGGCTGGAAACAATTTTTTTGAAAATTTTTACAACTTCAATATAATAGCTAACAACTTTTGTAATACTATTAACAACTTCAGTATATCAGTTAATAACAGGTTTTTGAGTTTGTTAATGGCATTACTGAAGTTGTAACAATGTTACTTTTGAATTTCCCGAAAAACCTATTGTTAACTGCTATATCAAAATTGTTAATAGAGTTATAAAAGTTGTTAACCGTTATACTGAAGTTGTAACAATTTTAAAAAAAAAAAAGTTGTTAAAGTTATAAAAATGCCATTTTTTAAAATTTTTTAATAAACATGTTGTTAAATGTTATACCAAAGTTGTTACTAGAGTTACAGAACTTGTTAAAAATATTACTGAAGTCGTAAAAATGCTATTTTTTTTGAATTTTTTGAAAAATTTGTTGTTAACAGCTATACTGAAGTTGTTAATAACATTACAAAAGTTGTTAGCCGTTATACTGAAGTTATAAAAATTTTCAAAAAAATTGTTTCTGATCGCCGGAGCTTCAACGACTAATTGTTGAATTTCCCGAAAAACCTGTTATTAATTTATATACTGAAATTGTTAATAACATTACAAAAGTTCTTAACTGCTATATTGAAATTATAAAAATTTAAAAAAAAATTGTTTTCGGCCGCTGGAGCTTGTTAAATTTCTCAAAAAACGTGTTGTTAACTGCTATATTAAAGTTGTTAATAGCGTTACAAAAATAGTTAACCGTTATACTGAAGTTGTAAAAATTTTCAAAAAAAATTGTTTCTGACCGTCAGAGCTCGGGTGGCCAATTATCGGCTAGTCGCCAGAGTTTCAGTGACCGGCCAGCTAGTGGGGGCTTTGGTATTTTTAAAACAATAAATAAAATGAAGGGCAATTTAGTCTTTGCATTTGACATGATAATGCCAATTTGGTCTCATGTGACTAAAATGGCATTTTGCAAATTCAGCAGACATTCTAGCCATTTCCAAGTTAATTTTATAACAACGAAGCAGCTCATAATGATAAATTTTAATATAGAAAATGACAATATATTTTAATTGCTCGCTTGTTATTGAGATATCTTTAATAATTATCTTCGTTCTTTGAAACCTCACAATAATTCCACCTTCAAACGAATGATGACTAGGGTGAGAGAAATTTCTTACTTTATTCCTCGGAAATTGAGGAGATGCATCACTTAGTTAATACCCATAGGTTGCACGGGGCAATCAATCCGTCTAGATTGTATTTCTAAATTCAATAAAAAAAAATTATGACTGATACTTCCATCGGTTTTATATATACACACATTACAAAAAAAAAAAAAACCCCCCAATTACTAATGAAATTACTAATAAAAAAATTTCATTGGTGATTTTCATTGAAGATCCGTCTGAAATTTCATCAGTAAATTTACTGACAGAATTTTGGAAGGACTACTGATGGAAAATTCTATCAATAATTTCGTCATAAGTTTTTTTTTTTTCGCAATTAATCACGAAATAATTCCGTCAATAATTTCTATTGAAAACCTGTGGCAAATTCCGTCAATAAATTTACTAACAAGTTTTTGATGGATTTTTAATAGAATTTTTTTTGTGGCTAATCCGTTAGTAATTTAAAGTTTTAGAAATTTTATTATTTATTATAATATGATAATAATTTATATTATATAGTAAGATAGTGATTTGTACGTTTATACATATTTTTTCTTCTTTTTGTATCTTTAAGTGAGTTCACCATGCTAACATTCAATGTAGATTTAAAGGAAAATGAATACAATATTATTATTATCCGATCAAAGGCTTTTTACTTAATATATATCATATTATATTTATTGATACTACCTCTGATCCTTAATATAAGATCCAATTGATTAACTTGAGAAGATAAAAAAATTTACTATAAATTACTTTAAGGGAAAATTTCGTTTAAGGACCGCATTATACAATTAATCTCAAACTGCCCCTAAAACTTTTTGAAACCTCACTGCAGGATCAAGGGGCTAATCTGATATTAATTCCAGAAGCGAAATGATGCCACTGACCCTGGTAAATACTCATTTCCCTTTGAAAATGAGACATATTGTCAGCTGTGTGAAAGAGAGAAGAAAGACGGAAAGGGGGAAGTTGGCGCCATTTCTTACCTCTCCCTTGCAGCGCACCAGTGATGAAGGGAGATAGTTGACAACCATGAGCTAAAGAAACGCAAAGGCGAAGCTTCACTTTTGAGGTCCGTCCCACGGCCGTCTGTTGAAGTCAAAGCTAGAGTTGGTAGAAGAGAGAGAAATGTAAGTGTGCCCTATGGTGTTGCGTGTTCTTTGGAAGTGGAGTCAGCTTGGCGTGGGAGGTGAGATTTTGTTTTCAAAATTTTGGTTTTGTTTGTGTGATTTGGTGAGCACAGGTGGGTTGTGATGTTACAATAAAGAAGAAATGAGTGTTTTAGTGCATGGGTATATAGGTTGGGAGTGACTTGCAAATCTGATGGTGTTTTTGGTTTTAAGTTTAAGAAATTTATGCTCATGCCAATTTAAGTTGTTAAAGATGTGCTGTTTGTAATTTTTGAAAAGTAGGTGCACATTGAGTATAATGCCTTGTTGAAGGAAGTTGGGTAGGCCGAAATGAAAGGGAAATGGGGGTGTGGGGTAGAATGGGTTATATGACAAGTAGATGTGCAGAGGAATGGTAAAATATGTATTAGGATTGTAAATTTACTAATTCTACTTGTGTACGGGAAAAAAAACAAGTTAGTGTTGTGAAAATACTAATTGTTGTTATCAATTTTCAAATTGCTGATGCAAACGTATATTGCCTTTAATTAGTAAAAGTTGATTGGAAGTCATACTTGAATGATGTGCAGCAGTAGAGGATAAATGGCTAGCAGTAGTGAGAAACAATTATTTTGCATCTTTCATGTTGGATGGCACTTTATAAAGACCTCTGAAGGAAAATTCATTTATGACGGGGGCATCATTACTGGAAGATTGATTAGAGAAGGGATGCCATATGAAGAACTACAATGCCTGGTAGCTCATGATGTGTGGGCAGGGACCTGTGAATATAAAATGTCATACGTAGTTAGCTTTGATTGGGACACATTCTTGGATCTTGTTGACGATATTGGTGTTAGACAAGTAATTGAGTACAACAATAGCAGTGGCCATGTTTATGTTTGTGAGAATGAGAAAGAGTTTACACAAGTGTCACAATTGGACAATGCACAAGAGTAAGTTGTTTTTAGCTGGTTTTACTGAAATTGTGTGTATAGGATAAGAAGTCTGTCCAATTTTGATAAATTGAACTATAAGACTCAGTAGCTGTATTTGTTTATGTAGGTTAGATGATTTGGTCGGCCCTTGTGAATGAGTTGGATCTAGACACAGACAACATAAACATATCTCCCATACAAGGTGTGCCAACACCGATAGGAAGTCTAGCTATGGAAATACTAGCGGTGATGAATTCGTCAAAATGGGCATATTTGTTGATGTCAAAAGGGAAAACCTTTATTAGTGCTGGACTTTTTAGAGAGTCATTATATAAGTATAGCCTTGCACACAACTTTGGTTACCGATATGTCAAGAATGATAAGCATAAGATGATTGTGAAGTGCTGTGTAAATGGTTGTCACTGGGAAATTTCAACATATGGTGCAGATGACAAGAATGAATTCCTAGTTATGAGAAGATTTAACAATAAACACATGCATTATTCACAAGACAACTTAGTTGTCCCTCACAGAAAGAGGTGCAAACTTACTTCAGCAGTTATAGTAGATGAGTTGATATCTTGCGTACACAAATCTCCAAATGACATTAGACGGGATTTGGAAAGAGAGTATGAGGTGATCCTCAACTACCAACAAACATGTAGGACGAAAGAGAAAGCATTGGCACAAATTCATGGTTGTCCAGAGGAGTCTTATATATTAATCCCTTGGATATGTGAAAGGCTAAGGGAAAGTGATCCGGAAATAGTAGCAAAGTGCGTTACATCGTCATGTAATAGATTTCAAGCTATATTTATTGCATATGGTTGTTGTGTAAAAGGGTTTTGGAAGGAGGTAGACCTATATTATATGTGGATGGATGCCACTTGAGCGGTCCATACAAAGGTACGTTATTGGGAGCACAAGCATATGATGCGGATAATGAATTATTCCCACTTGCATATGCAATTGTTGGAGGTGAGACTCTCGATGAGTGGGTATGGTTTTTTAGTAACATAAAGGATATTACAGGATCATTAGAAGGGACAATAGTATCAGATAGGCACAACTCAATAAAAGGTGCAGTGCAAGCCGTGTTTGGAGGCGATCGACATGCTTTTTGCTACCGTCATGTCAAGGAGAATTACAGTGCTGAGTTCTTAAAGATAACCAATGGAAAGAGGAGGACCAGCGGACAAACCAAGGAAGTTGTACTAAAATTACTTGATTCTATTGCGTACACAAGACTTGACAGAGACTTTGATCATAGTATGGAAAAGCTAATGAGATTTTGTCCAGAATTGGGACAATGGCTTCAAACAAATGGAGATATTGAGCGTTAGGCACAAAGCAAATTTTCTTATGAGAGGTGGGACAATATCACAACAAATTTAGTTGAATCCTTTAATGCTTGGCTTATTGGTGAGAGGAAGCACAACATAGCTGTCTTGATACATGAGCATAAGGAAAAATTATCAAAAAAGATGCACAACAGCAAATAGGGCATGAGGAATTGGACCAATGGTGTGGGACCTAATATAGAGGAAAAGCTGATAGATCATGTGGCCAGATCAGAAATAATGGATGTACAAGATTATCGAATGAACAATTTCAGGGTCAGATAGGGAAACCTAAATGTGCGGGTAAATCTTGTGTTACATGAATGCACCTGCAAAGGTTGGCAAATGTTAAGACTACCTTGCCTACATGCATGTGCTACAATAAAAAAGGTATATGGTAATATATATGCGTATGTCAAGGATTTCTTTTTACTCTCAACGCAAAAGAAAATTTATGCCAGACTCATGATTCCAGTTGAGACTCATGACATCCCTAGGCCAGATTCGCTTCGATATGAAGATTACTCGTCCACTATCTTCTTACAACCACCAGTGACAACTCGTTGTGCTGGAAGACCCAGAGTTAGGAGGATTGGATCACAATTCCAACAGAAGAAACTGTATCATTGCTCAAGATGTGGTGAAGCTGGTCACACTAAAAAGACTTGCAGTAACTCGAACCTTGGGTGACTTTGATGTTGAAAATAGTCTTTTTTTTTTTTGGTTCAGTACATAGCTACTTTTGTACATAAATGAGCCCCACTATGTATTGGGTTGGGGAAGTAGCTATCACAACCCATTTTGATTTTTTGGTGGTGGGTTGGAATATATTTTGTATAGTACTGGGAATAGTTCAAATATTTCATGACAGTAGGTGACTATAGCTGTCGCAGGTTATGTTAGGCTGTAATCTGTCCACATGCAAATGGACTATTTGTAGTTGGAAATATATGTATGTACGTTGCAAATTGTCTAATTTCACCTGCAAATGGGCTCTCACACACTTGTTCACTTATGGACACCTTCTTCAGGTGAAGGACATCATATGTAAATGGACTATTTGTTACTATGAATATATTTATCTATGTTGAAAATTGTCTAGTCCTAGATGCAAATTGACACATTGTTAACGTCAAGCAGGGCACATGTGAATGGACTATTTATAGCTATGAATCTCCGTATATGTATTGGAAATTGTCTAGTCCCACTTGCAAATGGGCCATCGCACACCTGTTCACTCACTTGTTCACTGGGACGAGCAGGTCACATGCAAATGGACTATTTGTTGTTGTGAATATATATATCTATATTGTAAATTGTCTAGCCCCAATTGCAAATTGACACGATGTTCACGTTAAGAAGGGCACATGTGAATGGACTATTTATAGCTGTGAATATCCGTATATGTATTGGAAATTGTCTAGTCCCACTTGCAAATGGACCATCACACACCTGTTCACTCACTTGTTCACTGAGGACGAGCAGGTCACATACAAATGGACTATTTATTGTTGTGAATATATGTACCTATGTTACAAATTTTCTAGTCGCACTTGCAAATGGGCTCCCCCACACTTGGACACATTCTTCTAGTAAATCAGTCCACTTGCAAATGGAGTAATTATAGTTGTGAATAAATGTATTTATGTTGAAAATGGTCTAGTCCTACTTGCAAATGATAAGTCTCACATTTGTTCACTCAGACACATTCTTCAGGTGAATCAGCCCACGTGTAAATGGACTGATTGCAGATGAGAATCCAAGTATTTTTTTTTGGCAAATTCCCTACTCTCACTTGCAAATGGGGACGTTGTTTAGGTTGGGTAGGGCACATATGAATGGACTATTTGTAGATATAAATTTCTGTATATGTCTTGCAAATTGTCTAGTCTCACTTCCAAATGAGTCGTGGCACACCTTTTTACTCACTGGTTCACTCATTCACGACGAGCAGGTCACATAGAAATAGACTAATTGTTGTTGTGAATAAGTATATGAATGTTGCAAATGGTCTAGTCCCACTTGCAAATTGGCTCTCCCGCACATTTGGTCACGGGCACATTCTTTAGGTGAATAGTGGAGGTGTAAATGGATTGATTCCAGATGTCAATTCATGTATGTCTTTTGCAAATTCCCTACTCCCACTTGCAACTGGACACTCTGTTCAAGTCAAGGAGGGCACATGTATATAGACTGATTCCTATTGTGAATATATGTATAGGTGTTGCAAATTCCCTAGTTCCACTTGCAAACGTACACCCTGGTCAGGGCACTTGCATATGTAAAAGGACATGTTATTCAAGTGAAGAATGCCACATGTGAATGGTCTAGTTGTTGTTAACATTGTTGTCTCTCTTCAAATTGTCTAATCCTTCGTGCAAAGGGCTAATCGTTAGTATAGGTCATTAACTTGGAAATGGATGAACATTTGGTGTTAATTTATGTATCCTTGTTGCGAATTTCCTAATTTCTGTGGTCAATTGTACGTATAATCCAAGTAAACAAGTGCTGATGATATGAATTCCATCAAAACAGACATTCCCCCCAACATCTTTTTATGCACAACATTTGAGTCAATATTTTCATTTGGGCAATGTGTTTGGCAACATGAATTTGTAATGTTAATGTACAACAAAGTGTTCACAACATGAATTATAGTGCTTATCAGTGAAAACTACATGTTTAGTGTCAAAATTTGCAATGTTATCGCTTCCTCTTACATTGTGTGTTAATCTGGGCAATGTGTTTGGCAACAGCAGCTGCCTTGTTATTTCTTGGATGAGTCACGAGCCACCACAACAACTCACACCGTATAGATATGTATTGATCCTATGGGAGAACAATAAGTTTTCTCAGTAAGTTCACATAGATGTGTGAATTCATTAACACATAATTCAACACCTACTACTATATAATAAGGCATGGTGAATTCAACTACATCCTTCTCTTGTGGGTGGGGCCACTCTCTTCGATATGTGATGACATAAACCCCACAATGGTCACTAAAAAATCAACATATGACAATGTTGGCTCATATATGTCAATGATAATTTATGACAAATAACTTACACTTAATAAAATACTCATGTATTGTCCTGAACATGAATCGTGGGATACAAGATGACATCGTTTGAATCTGGGTTGGCCAAAGCCTCCAGCTCAGGCTTCACTCTCCTTAGTATTTCAATGAAGTATGCCCTCTACACAATTACAGATGGCAATCACATAGAGGATACTATGGTTGTCCAATAAAGAAGAAAAGTAATCACACCACTTACACAAGTTTCTGCTATCATTTGCTGCCCCCTTAATGCCAGATCAGACTTTTTGTTCTTCTTTCATTGCTTTATTGTATGCTTGACACCATACAAAGAGTCGAGCACATAAAACTTTAGTGTGCTAGGTTCAAACACAAAGCAAAACCAATGCAGTGCAAATAAAACAAGTGCACAAATGTATTCACATTCACCCAAATTGTACCCCAGGTATTCTGGGAGTAGTTGTTTGAGATGCTTGTTCACTTGCCATGCTGTGTGTTCCTGCACCATCCTTGTCTATAATAAAAGAAAATTGCACAGCAATGCAAATTGTCAGTAAACAAAGTGAACCGATAAGTTGGCCAAACAATTTTAAGCATTTACCCATTAACAGGCTATAGCACTAGCCATGAAATCTAAATCAAATATGTATCTTTTAACCACAGAGGCATTCCCCTGTTAGTCGGTGTTTATGGTATGGGCAATCAAAGTCATGATCTACAAATAAAAGGAGGTGGAATAATTAAAAATCTGGCACATTCCATATATGGCCCACTTTGGTGTAAATTGAACAAGTGCACGTACCCTGTTGCGTATCCACCTTCCAGGACCCAGTGCTTGTAGGTCTGATCATGTTGCCAAATGCCCAAACATATCTACTACGACCGTACAATAGATACGAAAGTGGAAATAAATTGTTAGTATTGCATACTAGTATCATTCATAGGCTGTCTTTTCCATAATAACTGACTACACTTACTTTTGAACCTCATCTGGTTGACACCACTCAATACACATAGTATAAAATGCATTCTTGTCACTTATTTTCACCTTTCTGCCATAACTAGTAGACATGTATGGAGATTTCACTACTGGGTGTTTGCATCTAGTTGACCTTCTTGTGGGTAGTTGCACTACTTTCCCCCACCATTTTTCCTTCTTCATTCCCTTCTTCAGTTTCAGCCTCCTGTGTACCTTCAGCATCCTTTTCTGCAGCTTCATCTTCGCTAACATTGTCATCCTTATCAGTACCTTCCTCTTTTTCTGCTTGTTCTTCATCAGCATGCGATTTCTCACCACTTTGATGTTCTTCTCCACCCTCTACAGTCATAACTTCATCATCTCGTGGCTGGTCATCTTCACCCTCCTCAGTCTGATGTTCTTCTCCTTGTTGTTCATCCTCATATTTATTACTTTTATCTAGCTGCTCCTCATTGACTTCTTCATTGCCTCCCTGGTTAAGAATTTTGTTTTCCAACTTAACCAGTTCATCACAAAGCAAGTTTTGAATCTCGGCCATTTTATTGTTCGATGTGTTGTTGAAATTGACCCAAAACTCCTTAATGTCCTGCATATTGGAAATATATGTGACACACTCAGTATACATAGTATAAAATGCATTCTTGTCACTCATTTTCACCTTTCTGCCATAACTAGTAGACATGTATAGAGATTTCACTACCGAGTGTTTATGTCTAGTTGACCTCCTTATGGGTAGTTGCATTGCTTTCCCCACTATTTTTCCTTCTTTGTTCCCTTCTTTTATTTCAGGCTCTTGTGCACCTTTAGCATCCTTTTTTGCAGCTTCATCTTCGCTAACATTGTCATCCTCATCAGCACCTTCCTCTTCTTCTTCTTGTTCTTCATCAGCATGCGATTTCTCACCACTTTGATGTTCTTTTCGCCCTTGATAGTCATAACTTCATCATCTCATGGCTGGTCATCTTCATCCTCCTCAGTCTGATGTTCTTCTCCTTGTTGTTCATCCTCGTGTTTGTCACTTTCATCTAGATGCTCCTCATTGACTTCTTCATTGCCTCCTCGGTTAAGAATTTTGTTTTCCAACTTAACCAGTTCATCACAAAGCAAGTTTTGAATCTCGGCCATTTCATCGTTCAATGTGTTGTTGAAATTGACCCAAAACTCCTTAATGTCCTGCACATTGGAAATATATGTGATCAAATAGATATTAACTGTCACCAACAGACATGACCATGTTGGTATTACTCACTGGATGATGGAAACTTCTACTATAACCTGACTGTGTTGACTCATTCACTTCAGCAGAGGGTAGAGTGTAGAAAATGCCATGCCAACTTTCATTTTCCGTGTCAATTCTACTCTTCACAGCCTTATCATCCTAATGTTTGATAGCGTCTTTGTCTTTTAGTTCACCTCCCTGTAAAGGGAACCTTTACAGAAAGTACAGCTACAGGGAGAAAAAAAGAACAGTACTCAAATATATATATCACGCAGTACATCAATAGTTTAATTGTGAAACCATATCTAGTATCATTTCTTTTGTAAACAAGTATGCAAGTACTAATAAAAAGTAGATGCACCCTCCGACAACTCTCGCGCCCTCAGTTTGTCCATCTTTACTACTCCTATTGTACCATTTTATTTCTTCACTGAGTTCATGAAGCACAAACAGAGCCCAGTCAAAATTTTGCCACTTATTTTCTGTGCAGGCCATTACCTTTAGCACTTTCTCACTGACACTTGCACTTCCCATGGGACAGAGAAAAGTTCCTACTGTGAAAAGAACAAAATAGAACTCGAACTTTCCATCTTCTTCCTTACTCATTATCTTCTTTGCAATTTGAGAATATGTCAGTGGAGTATAGTCCTTCTTCAGCACATTTTCTTCATCCTTGAAGCCATCCAACTTCACTTTGGAGCCCTTATCTGGTAACCCAAGCACCCTCCTAGCATCTGTAGCAGTTTCTCGCTTTGTCTTCCCCCTTATGGTGATTTGTTTACTTGGGGGATCATATGCATGAATCACCTCCAGACATAAATCTCTAGGCAGCTTATTCAGAGTAATACCAAGAAGATGACCAAACCCCATTTCTTCTACCTTGCGCTTTAAATTTTCTTTCCCATCTATAAAGTTTGCCACTTCCTTGAATTTCCTGGGGGAGCAGCGGGTAGAAAATGGGGACACATATTTTTCCTTCTTCTCCTCCTCCTCTATCAGCTGTTGCTCCTTCTTCCTGTATGGCTCCTTGTCAACATCACTCATCTCCTTCCAAATTACTGAAGCCGCTTCTGTGATTGCTCCCATATTTCCATGCATCTTCTACTTCTTTTGCTCCCAAAATTCTCCCTTGAATACTTTCCAGCCGATAACTTGTGCATTGTTTTTTCCTATCTTCTTAACCCTTTATCCAATAATCATAAAGTCATGAATTAGTACATTAAATAGCACATCAACACCAAAATTGTATGTACACTAATTGTTATTGTTAAATGCCTAACTTTACTTGTCATACGACAGGACATCATATTGTTACATGCAAGTTAAGTGGATAATGATGCCATTCTTTGTGTAAATTGCCTAACATTCATTGTGAGGCCACAACAGATCAGATTCCAACAAACATGAAATTATCTATTAGATGTGGTAAATTTACTGGCTCTTCATGTCAATTTTCTAACTTTCAGAGTGTAGGACACATCAAACAGTTACACAAAAGATAAGTGCAAATTCAGCTAATTGGCTGTGTCAATGGCCTAATTTTCCCTCTCAGGTCACTGCAGACAAGATTCCCACACACATGAAATTTTGTAACGCAGCTTGTAAATTTATTGACTCTTCATGTCAATTTTCTAACTTTCAGAGTGCAGGACACATCAAACAGTTACATAGAAGATAAGTCCAAATTCAGCTAATTGGCCGTGTCAATTGCTTAATTTTCCCTCTCAGGTCACTACAGACAAGATTCCCACACACATGAAATTTTGTAACGCAGCTTGTAAATTTACTGACTCTTCATGTCAATTTTCTAACTTTCAGAGTGCAGAACACATCAAACAGTTACATAGAAGATAAGTCCAAATTCAGCTAATTGGCCGTGTCAATTGCTTAATTTTCTTTCTCAAGCCACTACAGACAAGATTCCCACATACATGAAATTTTGTAATGCAGCTTGTAAATTTACTAACTCTTCATGTCAATTTTCTACCTTCCAGAGTGCACGACACATCAAATAGTTACACAGAACATAAGTGCAAATTCAGCTAATTGGCCGTGTCAATTGCCTAATTTCCCCTGTTAGGCCACTGCAGACAAGATTCCTACACACACGAAATTTGTAATGCAGGTTGTAAATTTACTGACTCTTCATGTAAATTTCATAACTTTTAGAGTCCAGGACACATTAACCAGTTACATAGAAGATAAGTGCAATTTTAGCTAATTGGCCGTGTCAATTGCCTAATTTTCCTTGTCAGGCCACTACAGACTAGATTCCCAGAAACATAGTGGGTATTTTATTGACTCTTCATGTAAATTGCCTAACTTGACAGGTTCCAGCCAACATGAAACTGTTACACACTAGCTAAGTGGATAATCCCCTAATTCCTTGTGTTAATTGCCCAATCTTCCTTCTAAGCCCACTATAGATCAGTTTCCAACAAACATGAATTCCTGTAATGCACACGGTTAATTTATTGACTCTTCATGTAAATTGCCTAACTTGACAGGTTCTAGCAAATATGAAATTGTTACCTATCAGCTAAGTGGATAATCCCCTAATTGCACGATTTAATTGCCTATTTTTCCCTGTCAGGCCACTGCAGACCACATTCCCACAAACATAGTGGGTATTTTACTGACTCTTCATGTAAATTGCCTAACGTGATAGGTTCCAGCAAACAGGAAACCAATACACCCCAACTAAGTGGATAATCCCCTAATTCCTCGTGTCAATTGCCTAATTTTTCTTCTGAGCCCACTACAAATCAGTTTCCAACAAACATGAATTCCTATAATGCACATGGTTAATTTACTGACTCTTTATGTAAATTGCCTAACTTGACAGGTTTAAGCGAACATGAAACTGTTACCTATCAACTAAGTGGATAATCCCCTAATTGCATGAGTCAATTGCCTATTTTTCCTGTCAGGCCACTGCAGACCACATTCCCACAAACATGGTGGGTATTTTACTGACTCTTCATGTAAATTGCCTAACTTGATAGGTTCCAGCAAACAGGAAACCGATACACCCCAACTAAGTGGATAATCCCCTAATTCCTCGTGTCAATTCCCTAATTTTCCTTCTGAGCCCACTACAAATCAGTTTCCAACAAACATGAATTCCTGTAATGCACATGGTTAATTTACTGTTTCTTTATGTAAATTGCCTAACTTGACAAGTTTAAGCGAACATGAAACTGTTACCTATCAACTAAGTGGATAATCCCTTAATTGCACGAGTCAATTGCCTATTTTTCCCTGTTACGCCACTGCAGACCACATTCCCACGAACATAGTGGGTATTTTACTGACTTTTCATGTAAATTGCCTAACTTGACAGGTTCCAACAAACAGGAAACTGATACACCCCAGCTAAGTGGATAATCCCCTAATTCATCGTGTCAATTGCCTAATTTTCCTTCTGAGCCCACTACAGATCAGTTTCCAACAAACATGAATTCCTGTAATGGACATGGTTAATTTTCTGACTCTTCATGTAAATTGCCTAACTTGACAGGTTCAAGCGAACATGAAACTGTTACCTATCAGCTAAGTGGATAATCCTCTAATTGTGCGAGTCAATTGCCTATTTTTCCCTATCAGGCCACAACAAACCATATTCCCACAAACATAGGGGTAATTTACTGACTCTTCATGTAAATTGCCTAACTTGACAGCTTCCACCAAACATGAAACCGATACACACAGCTAAGTGGATAATCCCCTAATCCCTCCTGTCAATTGCCTAATTTTTCTTCTGAGACCACTACAAATCAGATTCCAACAAACATGGTGGGTCATTTACTAATCCTTCATGTAAATTGCCTAACTTCACATATTCCAGCAGACATGACGTTCTTACATGCAAGTGGTTATTCAACTAATTCTTAGCATCAATTTACTAACTATCATTGTTAGCCCACTAAATGTCACATTCCAACAATAACTGGGAGAAACCAAAGAAAACAAACTCATTTACCTAATCCATACCACAACAGTTACCCCTCCGAATTCTTTTTTTAGTTCTTGTAAAATGCCTACAAACACTATAGCAATACAGTTCACTACCAACACTAATTTTTTCCCTTCATCATCAATTTCATACTTAACCCCCACACAAACTCTTAACGCTACACTCACAAGCTTTCTCTCACTAAACCAGGACGATTTGATAAAGGTCAAAAGGGGTGACGGCCGAACACTATGTCACACATTGGTAATCATTCCTCAGTTACAACCTTAATGTCATTACCAAACACACCCACCTTTTAGTGGGTCATTCTTTCTTAACCTACCATGAAAACTGAATCGAACAAATCTACTGCATTTAATACGGACTGCGAAGCTTACCAAAGAAAATCATTCTTTGTCGATAGCCTTGCAGGTTTCCTCCTTTCTCTGCCTTGTCTTGTTCTCCTTCTGCTTGTAGTAACAACCACCAAGTCGCAGAATGAGGGTGACGTAATTTTTAGGGGGCATGTCCAACACTTTTGGCAGATTGGAAGAGGCAAGAATCTTCCCTCAGTGGTAGCACGTTCTCAAGCAAGAGACGGCAGATTTTTTGCTGAGTAGTACCACGATGGCAGACTAGGAGAGGCAACAGTTTTTTCAGAGTGGTTGCACGTTCGCAGAGCGGGAGAGGGAAGAGTTTTCACACAGTGGGATCACCTTCGTATAGAGAGAGGGAGGACTGTTTGACTGTATTTTGGCCCTT